TAACCAAATATGAGAGCAAAATATCTTTCTAAAATAGATATAGAACTTTAAGAATTCGTACCCAACTCAAGTTATATCAATGATGATTTACAAAATGTTCTAAAGTTCGTACAATACAAAAAGGGAGAATTTTACTAAATGCAGACAAAGTATATCAATTATACTCGAAATATTTTCGGCGCTTTAATCGTTACCATTTCAGTAGCTCATTATTTACAGCGTGCTCTTTATGCATAATGTAACAATTACAATTACCTAATTATCTCCCCCCCCCCCAACTCTCTCTTTCTCTCTCTCTCTCTCTCTCTCTCTCTCTCTCTCTCTCTCTCTCTCTCTCTCTCTCTCTCTCTCTCTCTCTCTCTCTCTCTCTTCCCTTTCAACAATGGTTATATATTTTTTTTATTTGAAAGTAATACTGTCCTAAGAAATTAATAATAAGCTGATTCATCAAGGAAGCACATGGGAATTTAATAACAATAATACAAAAATATACAGCATTTGGCGAAAGAATTCGGGAACGGGAGAGAGAGAAAAAAAGGACAAGTGAACGAAAATCAATAGGTCTTTTCAAAGCATCCCGACTTTTCCTGATGCTGTTCCTGTGTTTACAGTGAAATACTATTGACATGCATCGACATCAAACACGCACATAGGCGCCATGCAGCCCACATAAACAGCGCAGAATCTTTACAGCAGCAGCCAATGGCGCTCACCCCCCACCCCCACCCCGACCCATCCACAGCACCCCCATCCCTGCCTCCCAACTTCCCGGAATACTGGTCCTCATTTACAAAAGTACGTTGGCGTTATGGCTCTTTTTTATTACCAATTGTGCCAATGACTCGCTAATGAAACGGGAACCTAATTACTAGTTTGATTTTACCTGTTCCTCGCTACCACTGCGACGCGGTTTTATAAATACACACTCGGTCATAGGAAGCCCTCGGTGCCTGTGGGCAATTTTAGTAAAATCGGTGGAGCGTTTGCTGTGGCTTCATTCAAGTTCAAGTCCCGGGGAGAACGGCGGAATAAGGTTATCGAAACGATTTATTTCGTAAGTCTATACCTATTTATTTCGTTTTTTCGAATACTTCATGACAACTACTCTTATTCCCTCGTCATCCCGCAGCACCCACCACATCCCACTTCAGTTATTTCCCCGCGTTCTATCCAATCACGCATGTTATTCCTAAGCATTGGACACAGGTACACATTTCATCCGATTGGTCTGCATATACACAACATCCCTTTTGCTGACTCGCTGCTCCTTCAAATTCCGCCTTTCCTACTTGTTCCGGTTACACACTCGCTGCCCGTTTGAATTACAAGCCACGTTCAGAATACATATTTAATGTCCGTTCTGTTTATATACTTGTTGCTCGATGGAATTACAAACACGACATGCGCTTGGAATGTTTGGTGTTATTCACGATGTATATTTATAGTGTTCATTCGGGGTAGGATCAGACTATGCACTCGACCCGCCCTGACAATTCCCATCTCTATCTCAACTCTTCTCTCTTCCTTTTTTTTCTCTATCTTCTCTATCGACTCCTTTCCCCTACTCCTAAAACCACCCCTACTCCTAAAACCACCCCTCCCTCCGTAACCTCCCTCCCTCCTTCCCTCTCTTTCCCTCTCATCAATTCCCTTCAATCCACATCATTAACTCACATCAATCGCCAAATCAATAATTCACCTCACTCGTTCCGATCACTGGTTCAGAACCAATCATCCGACCGCCGGTGAGTTCGGCGGGCTGCCACGACCAGATAAAAGGGGGGAGGAGGGGGGAAGAGGAAGAGGAGGAAGAAGGGAAAGGGAGAGAGGCGAGAGGAATGGGGGAGAGGAAAGGGGAATAGGAGAGAGGAAAGGGGGGAAAAGGAGAGGAAAGGGGTAAGGGGATGGGAGAAGAGGAAGGGGACGGAGAGGGAGGTGCGTTGCACAATCTCTTGCTACACTAAGATTTGGAGAAACTAAGGAAAGAGGAAGTGGGAAGGGAATTAGAAAGGTAAGGAAGGAGGAAAGGAAGAAGAATGGGAAAGGAAGAAGGGAAAGAGGAAAGGGGGGTATAAAGAGGGATGGGGAAAAGCAGAAGAAAGCAAGAGAAGAGGGTATGGGGGAAAGGGAAGGAAAGGGAATGACACACGAAGCAGATGGAAAGACTGACATCGGGGATGTTTGTATATATGCAAGAACTTGGGTATAGCAAACAGAACGAGGGACGGAGAGGGAAAGAGAGAAAATAAAAGAAATAGAAAAGGAGGAAAAGGTAGGGTAATAGGAGGGAGAGGCAGGAAAGGAGGGAAGGAGAAAGGATGTAGGGGGTGGGGCACGAAGCAATATAACCAGAAGTAAAGGAACCCCCCAAAAAACTGAAATAGAAATAACAAACTTTATGAACTGTAAAAGAAGTTTAAAGAATTAAAAAAAAACGGTCAAAAGCCAAACTTGCTCTTCCAAAAAAAAAACAAAGTCGCAGATTGAGCCAAACGAGATCAGGTCGCACAGCCGCAGGAGAAGCAACTACAAAAACACTGGACAAAAGGTGTTCGTTGTGCAAAGTTCAATTCATTTTGAATCGTTCATGAATTTTTGAAACTGCCGTTGTTCGTAATTTATTAACCCCCGAGGAGGAAAAATAACACACACGTAACAGAGAAAAAATTTGATTTTGTAGATATTCAATAACGAATTTTGCACGATATACTTACGTATCGCTGGCTTCCACCTACGTGATATACAGTTACGTACCTGTTGAAAGAAAAAAATAAGATCAATTAAACATTGCACATGATTTAGTGATGAAAAGGAAAGTTAAGAGTACCCACTTTTGAAGTAAGAAAAATATCACTAATAAAAGTACTAGAAGTATTCATAGTTGTTATTGCAGTAGAAGTATGGCTGACTAAGATAAGTTCTTGTACAAATTTACGTCGCTGTCCCCATCGCACTGCTTAAGGTCTTATCGTGCATCACGCCTCAAATGCCATTGCCGGATCATCGAAGAGCATCGGGAATGGAAATGTAAACAAAATAAAAAGTCACTATTATTCGAACTCACTGAAAGTTACATACTACTGTGAGGGAAAAAAAACTGCACTGTGGTTTGCACTATACTAATTATCATAATGCAGACCAGAGAAGAAAAAAATCTATAAACACTCCTACAATCGACGCTTTTCGCTTTGATTTCCGCTTAGTTCGGTATCAAAGCCATCGGAGAAAACAACTTTCACTCAAACTTCTTGCAGTTGATCAGCGATTGCATTCCAGTGCTTTTCCAGTGTGTGTTCGCCCCGAGGTTCGTCGTTTATATATGTTAAATATATTTTGATGATTTTGTATTATTACTATGCTTGAACATAAAGAACATTAATAAATCAGAATGATAAAAACAGCACAATGATAATGGTAAACAAACTCAATAAACATGATCACAAGAACATACATGCATAACGTTTGCCAATTTCCAGAATATAAAACAGAGATCTCGACTGCCCTCCATGCGTCCCTCGTTTCCTTCCAATTATCTTCATCTCTTCTTGTAGTTATTAGTTTTATCTTATCATTTCTTCCCTTCCCTGCAGTTTCCCCTTTAGTCTTTTTTTCTCTTCATGGTTTCCCTCCAGCACTCTTTCCCTCTTCTCGTAGCTATGTAAACCGTCCCCTCGCCCATTTCCAAATTAGTTCCTTGCCTCTTGCCCGTCTCTCTCTCTCTCTCTCTCTCTCTCTCTCTCTCTCTCTCTCTCTCTCTCTCTCTCTCTCTATCTCTCTCTCTCTCTCTCTCTCTCTCTCTCTATATATATATATATATATATATATATATATATATATATATATATATAGAGAGAGAGAGAGAGAGAGAGAGAGAGAGAGAGAGAGAGACACACACACACACACACACACACACACACACACACACACACACACACACACACACACACACACACACACACACTCACACATCATATTATTCATAGTTTCTTTTCTGTTAACTTTGACCTTTCCTTGGCTCTCTTACCGAGACTTCTTCGCCCCAGAGTTCAACCAGCTTGTGTAAGATGACATCAAAGTAACCGTGGTTAATGGCATATTTTCTTATCAAAGGTCTGAACAGTTTCAGTGAGAAAAAGGAAAACGAAGAAAGAATTTCGTTAAAAGAAATGAATATAAGAAGAAATAATATTTGAATCACTATAAAAAGGAAAATGCAAATTAGGTGAGGCAGCAAATACCTTCGCAGAAACACACGATCTCGACATGAAGGGCCACTTCGCCCTCTGCGCTGCCACGCGAGCAGAACGCAGCCACGGCAAATATTATTACCGCTGTTCTGAACAAGTAAATACCATCGACACAGAGGAGAAGCCAGAGCCACTCCAACTCTGAAACGGAGATCAATACTGCCGATGCCTTGTAGTGCCGTTGCAAGGCAGACGCCCACGTGTCGCTGGTCAACAAGACAAACACGACGATCAGACGCGGACAAAAACAGCCATACGGAAAGAAAGGCGGGCGGGTAAAGGCCGACAAGCGAAAAATGTTGCTAGGCGAGGAGAAAGCAGATCCGGACGAGACGAACAAGTTCCTCCAGCAGGCGAACGACGACTTGGGATATGTAAAAACAAATCTAAGATATAAAATCTGATGTAAAATAACACAACCAAAAGCTACCAATAGTAAGTGAAAAAAAGAAGTCCTCGAAACAACGCGAATGGTGCTGCCCTTCCTCCCTAGCATCACTAGACTTTCCGCGGGCCTTGTGGAAGTCCTAAGATCAGATGCAGGCAAATTATGACATCAGCAAAACGTCTTCAAAGGTCAAGTGCCAAAGAAAGCAGGCAGGGTATAAAGGTCGATCCCAGACCAAAGACCGGCCATTCCTTCTCGTTCTTCGTTATCGGCACTTACTCACCACATAACAATTCCGCGACATGAAGGCAAAGGTTTGAAGATTACGATAAAATCATCATCGTGAGACTTTGACCCGTGGAGAAATGGCTTTATTGGAAAATAATGTGATAAGAATAATACGAGAAAATGAAGTTTCTTCCTTTGCCAATCGCTGATGTCCAAACATTTTGTTGATGAGTTTTCTTCCGTAAAGATGATGGCAGTGATGCTGACGACCTCGCTCTTGCTCACGGGTACGACCTTGGCCCTCCCGGCTGACCCTCCCCATGTCTATGATGCGCGAACTTCGCACAGTTTTCACCCTGACCCTGACGAGGTAAGGACATTCCTTTTTTATAAATCAGTATGCGTGTGATTGTAGTAGCCGTGTAATAACAGTCCCAAGCAGGATAATTAATAGTTTTGGTGACAGTTGATACTAATCATCATCAAAAAAAATTATCCAGATTATTATTTTCAGATTACTCACAGTAGATATATTAACCTTAACACTTTGCCTTGACCTTCATTCCTGGAATGCCCAAACCGTACCACGTAGGTGCATGAGCCGTACGACTTCACATACACCGTCAGGAACGATGAGTCAGGCGCAGACTTCGCCCACAGTGAGGCATCGGACGGCGCCAGCGTCAGGGGGTCCTACACCGTGCTTTTGCCTGATGGCCGCAGGCAGACGGTGAGCAAGCGACTTCAGTCAATGAGATGTGGTCTTTTATGTTGTTCTTGAGAATTAACAGTTTAAAATGCATATATTGTGTATATTATGCAAGCATCATATATATATATATATATATATATGTGTGTGTGTGTGTGTGTGTGTGTGTGTGTGTGTGTGTGTGTGTGTGTGTGTGTGTGTGTGTGTGTGTGTGCGGGTGCGTGTGCCCGTGAGTGCGTGGGAATGTGTGCGTGTGTTCATACATATACTTCACGATACCCTCCCGCAGGTGACCTATGTGGTCGACTCTCAGACGGGCTACACTGCCCGCGTGTCTTACTCAGGAGAGGCCCATCGCCCCGCCACGTTCGGCTCGCCTGTCATCCCGACGGCCAAGACCTACAGACCTCAGCACGGCTTCTAGTGAGAGACAGCTCTTAGCTAAAACGCTACGAAAGTACCTAGTCATAACATAACAAGGCTTTGTGATATAAATTACATTGTAAATTTTCAAGTGGTTTTTATAACATTTGTATGTAAAAATGAATAAAGCTGTACGGCCGTTTCTGAACATTTAACTTCCCCGCAATACCGGTGCGCTCTTTGCAAAGACTGTAAAAAAATGTTAAGCTAAGACAAATCAATCATCACGCCAGGAGTCAACCTGAATTACTAAAGGTGACCGGGGAAAATAAAAAGCAAATTATACAGACTGCCTGAGCCAATAACACCAAACAAGAACGCCGGCGATATCATACTTTCACTGCCTATTGTTAGTCTACGTTCTCCATTCGTCAAAGGAATAGGCAGTAAAGAATCACGAAATGTTACGATGTACATGACAATGCAAGAAATATGTATCTAAGAGAATAATAATACGATTTTAAAAGTATAATTCATAATGAACAGTATTACTAACGACTACTATTTTCGGGCATAGAGGAAGTTCTATTGAAACATTCGATGTTTATACATATATCACATGTTCTCCTTAGCATGGCGTTATAATATGGGTTAAAATATATCAACAAATATATGAAATATAAGAGTATATATATATATATATATATATATATATATATATATATATATATATATATATATATACACATGTGTGTGTGTGTGTGTGTGTGTGTGTGTGTGTGTTTATATATATCAAATATATATTAAATATATACTATATATATACATTTTATATACATATATATATATATATATATATACATTTATATACATACATATACATATATATATATATATATATATATATATATATATATATATATATATATACATTTATACACATACATATACATATATACATTTATATACATACATATATACATTTATATACATACATATATACATTTATATACATACATATATACATTTATATACATACATATACATACATATATATATCTATATATACAAATATACATATACATATATATTTTACATATATATAATATATATATAAATATATACATATATGTGCATGTATGTGTGTATATATACATATACATTTATACATACATATACATATATATACACACACATATATATATATACACACATATATATATATACACACACATATATATATATACACACACATATATATATACATATATATATATATATATATATATATATATATATATATATATATATATATAAAATATATGTGTGTGTGTATGTATATGTATATGTATATGTATATGCATATATATCATAAATCTTTAACTTCATTTCATGAGTAATGCCGTACTTCTTGATATCTGAAACTCAGGCATTTCCTTGCTTTATCCAAAGATGTTAACACTCGTGAGCATACAGACAAATGCAACCGTCATCGTTTGCATTCGGCTTGAAACACAGACACGCAAGAGGAGAAAGAGAGGGGGAAGGGAGGATTGAGGAAAAAG